AGAATGGACACGGGAACACGTCTCTGAGCTCCAGGCCCTGCATGAGGCGCTGGACCAGAGGCTCCAGGAAGACATGCAGTTGCGGAGAGAGACCTGGAGGCAGCTGCTGCAGCAGGGACACATCACGTGCACAGCCGTCTAGTCTCTCCTTGCTGGCATGGAACCAGCTCCCACTCCTGCCCCAGTCCCATCTCCCGTGCCAGCCCCTGCTCCGGCTTCGGCCCCTAGCCCCCCTGTTCTCCTCCCGTGGTTGCTGAGGTCCCCACACATAAGGTAGAATAACCATCCAAGCCAGGCGCCACTCCCAGCCCCGGGCCTCTTCCAGTTCCCTCCTCCCCCTCCCCTCTTGCAGGTTCTTTCCCCGGTCCCTCCCCAGTTACTTCTACCCCAAATAAACGACCAACAACTTCTTTTTGTTTCTGAAAAAAATTATTTTATTGTCTCTGCTGGAGAGAGGGTAGAGGAGGGAAGGGAGGAAAGGCAGAGAGGGGCAAGGCACAGGCCCCTAGTGGGGAGGCCATGGAACTCTCCCTCAGGGCCTCCCAGATACGCACGGCCCCTGATGGGCCTGCCAGACAGCAGCCATGCACAGCTGTTCAGAGGCCCTGCCCTCCCGGCCAGCCTCTGCTCCCCACCCTTCTGCTCACAGGCTGTGGAGCACGTAACACGCAGCCACCGCTTGGGGGGTGTTCTGCTCCCCTACATCCAGCCAGGTGAGGAAGCATCAGAAATGGGCCTTGAGACACCTGAAGGCCCCCTCCACTTGCACGCAGGCCCTGCTGAGTCTGGCATTACAGCGTTCCTTGCTGGGGTCAAGGCGTCCGGCGCAGGCCACGTCACCCCACAACGCACAGTGGCATGTCCACGTCCCCGACCCTGAGGGCACACTCAGGGAAGAAAGTCCCAGCCCCCATCTTGTGAAATGGGCTGCAATTGCGGAACACGTGGGCATCGTGCGCCTTCCTTGACCACCCAACAAATCGTGGGTGAGCTGCCCATGGTGGTTGATCAGGGCTTGCAGGACATGGAGAAGTAGATCTTGCTCATTTATGCAGAGAGATGCCCAGTGGTTGGGGGCCCAGATGAGGATGTGGGTGCTGTCAATAACCCCGTCCGGCTGGGGAAGCCCATGGCAGCAAAGCCAGCGACGATGGGGTCCACGTCGCCGAGGTGGATGACCCTTCGCAGCAGGAGTGTGTTGGCCCTCGCCAACCTGCAGGAGACAAACAGAATCACAGGGGTGCCACACCCCTTGGGAGGTTCCCCAGCCTCCCCTTCCCCCACACCGGGAGCCACCCTCTATGTAGCCCCCCCCACAGGGCTGTGTGAGGGCGCGCGTGATGGGAGAACCGCCCGGGGAAGGGGTCTTCCCCCACTCTAAACTCTCCCCCCCTTTTCCAAGGGTTCCCCATTCCAGCACTTCACACACACCTAGGACTTAAGCATGAGAGCACCATACCTGTATGATGAGGGCCCCAACAGACTTCCCCATGCCAAACTGGTTCCCGACTGATTGGTAGCTGACCAGTGTGGCAAGCTTCCACACAGCAATGGTGACCTGCTTCTCCAGGGGGCTGGCGGGTCCGCATGTGGGTGTCCTGTTTCGTAAGGGAGGGGGGGCAAGCCAGGCACAGAGCTCCAGAAAGGTCTCCTTCCTCATTTGAAAATTCTGGAGCCCCTGCTGGTTGTCCCGCTGTTCCATGATGAGCCGGTCCCACCACCTGGAACCGGTGTC